CTCTTGTTTTAGCTGAAGATTGTTCCAAGATACCTTTTGTTATTTCTAAGTCGATATCCTGTTTACTATACACGATCACGTGAGTATTCGTAAACATGCTTTTTGCATTAAACGGGCGATTGCTTATGACAAAAGATTATCGCTGGAGAAATAAAATACTGGAAATTTGTTTTTTTGTCATTTGGTTTGCTATTCGTGGAAATTCAGTGAAAAATATTTTTTTATAAAAATTCGGATGGACAGAAAGTAACTGACGTGAATATAATCAATGCTAACGAAATTATTATTTGGTACCAGACATTTTATATGATTATATAACAAAGAAGAAACAAAAAATTGTTAAAATTGGGTGTGGGTTTAAGGTATGAGTGGCTAAGTAGAAGTACATTTTATGTCATGAAAATCTACAGTAAATACGAAGTGTTTACAGTTTAATATTTGAAAAATTTTCTTCGACGTCCTTTTCCCATGCTGAAATAAATTTTTCTTTAATATCAGGTGCAATACGAAAAGCAACTTCAGCACCATCACGATCTCGTGGTAGCCATTCGTTACCGTTTTTTATCGGATTCAGATGGAATACACGAAAATATAATCGACCAGTCCATGGTGTATAGAAACGACACTTATCCGTGTAGCCAAAATCAACAAGAAACGCCCAATCGAAACGAAAATTTGAATTGACGGTTACATCATTAGGAAATGGTCCTAAATTAGGCATAAAATTTTCCCGTACTATTTTTCTTAACAATCGATCAGCAGTTGCAACACATGGTTCGAGGAATTTCGGATCTCGTGTTCGAACAATCGATCGACGAATCGTTTTAGCAATACTTGACAAAGATAATGGATCATCGAAAATGTCAGATGCCATGAAGATAACAGCATTAGAAACAAGTCCAATCGGAGCAATGAAGTCACATACACCACGAAAGTTGATGGCCGTATTGGTTCGTAGAATAAGATGTTCATCATCGTTTTTGAAGCAATTAGTATTTAGTAGTAGAATGATGTACGATGTAAGAGCATCTTGTGTAGTCACTGACTTACCGCCAGCTAATTCATGTAGTCTAGAAAGTTGTTTGCTTGAAAAATGTAAATTAAGTTGTTCATATGTGTCTTCTCTACTCAAGAACAATTGAATCATTTCTCTAAGTGGTTTAGCATTAATCAATTCCTTCATTAATGGTAATAGTGATTGATCAGCTTCATCTTCTCTCCATAAGCGTCTCTCAAAAGTTGGCAACGGTTTCATAGGTTCCAATTGCTGATATAAACGTGAAATTGTAGTCAGAAAATTTAAATTCGATTCAGCATCACCCAGAACATGTGCCCAACTTGTAGCTAAAACCCATTCACCACTTTGTGTAATACATGTCAATTTTAAACGTAACAATGGTTCTTCATTAGAACTCTCCATTAATTTCATAGTTTGAACTCCATCAATGTATGGTATAAGTGCCACTTGAGTGATATCAACAACAACGTTATTGTTGAGAGGCCATTTTTCTAGTTGTGTATTTTCAGTATATGTAACAGGAATACCGTTGTCAGACATTTCAATGAAATAGTGACCATCGTCTAGCACAAGAAAACGACCAGCAACTAAAGGCCATAAAGAAAGAGTTTGACTGAGTGCACTTTTAAATCGATCGATATTCAATTCGCCTGGATAGACAAAAATATTGTCAATACGTGGAATGATTGACAGATCGAGACCAGCAAGTTCAATACGACGGTTATTACCTGTTGGCGTTGATACAGGAACAAGCCAAGACGTCATGTTTTAATCTGCTGTAAAAAAATATAATCACGAGTAAAAATTCATGCAAGCCTATTAAAATGTGAGTGCAGATGAGAAGAAATTTAAGGGTACCCTTGTCCATTTTTTGCCATTTCTGATTTTTTGAAGAGGATACAACTAATTCGCATGAGACTTTTATCACAGATAGAGCACCTAAAATAAGGAGACACACATTCGAAAAAAAAAATTTAAACAGGGCTTGTGTGGTTCTCCATGGGTCACATCGGGCTCGCTCACAACTACACTCTAACTTTGTTCGATCTGGCTGCAAATTTTGTTCGAAACACTTTAGGCTATACCTAAAAGGTTATTATAAATCCGAATAAAAAGGTCAAAAATGAAAACTGTCAATTTCAGCTCTGGAGAATACTTCTAATTATCTGTGATCGAAATTTTAGCTCGTTCATACAAAGTTAAAAAGAGGTTCCTAAGAAGAGCTAATATGATTCTTTCGCAAATTAGAGCTTTTCGAAAACATTATTTAAAATGTTTTTCTTCTGACAAATGCCTTTTTCTTTCAGGTGTTCTATCTCTGGTAACAATTTCATCCTGATCGATTAGATCTTCTCTGAGACCGGACATGGACAAAAAGAGTGGAGGACATACTCTCAACACTCACAGTCACTCCAGTCATTTTCAAATCTCAACGTGTCAACTAAGAATTCTGAAGGACGCTTCTTTATATCTATTATTATTGTGAAAGAAAATGATTATCTAACACCGTTACCGTCTCTGTAATTGTAACAACAAACTGAAAGAGTAGCTTACCGTCACCGTAATTATGATGTTCATTGAAGTACTTCATACTTTCACAATGTAACTACTTTGCATACAACACATGCTTATATGGAGGAAGATCAAAAGATTAAAAGAACAACAGTAAGAGAACGAAGAAGAACGAGGAAAGAGAAAAAAAAACATTAGAGAGATATGATATGGATATTAGCAGTGTCCAATCTTGAGCTAAATTGTTCTTAATAATGTACAGTAAAAAGAATCGGTATGAAAAACGAAGTTGTTTTTGCCATTTTCAAAAATACGATAGTAATTCAAAGAAAAATATCGTATATAATTATCTTTTTGAAATGAAGTACATAGAAAAATAATGTCAAACTAGAAAGGGTCATGATAAACATGCAGATCATAATCCAATAAATACAAAGAATTGAAGATGACGCTTGCTGCTAAGGTTGTTTCGATGAACACTTAAGGTTTGTTTTTCATTAGCTAAATACTTTAGTTATAAGTATTAGGTTGATATGTTTATAAGTAATTCAAATTTGTCGAATTTACGAGTATTAATTTATCTTTCCTGTTTCTTGTAATAAAGAATAAATATAAATAAAATTTTTATTGTTTATGCAATAAAGATAAAGATAAAATCAATAATAAAGAAAGACTTTTTCCTATCAACACTTAATTTTTTATTTTTGCAAGGTAGAGCTCACTAAATATTATGGTATGCAAGATCTTTTGCATATATCTTTCCATCAAAGATCATCATCAGGACAGAATTAGCCTATTGCTCTTTCCTGCTTTCCCTGCAGGCAACTAAAACAGGAAAAGTTATTTTGCTCCAGTAAATGATGTACTAAATCTCAATTTGTAAATACTTTCTTAATCAAAATTTGTAATTTTTTGTGTAGTTAGAGGAGCCATCGCTATAAACTATGCACATTCATATTTCATTCAATATATCTATTAGTGACAATCTTTACGTTTCGCTATTCGTTTTCATTGCTTTTCTGTGACTAGACTAAAGCTCAGAGGCCATCATCAATGCACGAAGCCCTGATGTTCTTGCCTCAAGGCAGAATGAAATCAATTTTTCAGTTCTATCTTGTTTGTCCTGCGGAGCGGCTAGCAGGACTAGACAAAATAGTTTACCTTAATAATAGTTATTTTACGTACTTTTAAAGACTTTCATAAATATCATTATTCTCGTCATTCAGATGTTCGTGTTCATCTCTCTTCTCGTAAACAGTGGCTTTATTACTATGTGCGTGACGTAGCAGTATTTACTTGCACGAGATTGAAGACCGGGACGTTAGACGTTTTTGCATCTATAATAAAATTGCCTACCATCTTTTGTATAGTTTGTGTAATACTTTGACCATTGATTTTAATTGATATTTCTGCTTCTACAGTATTATCAAATGCATTTTTTTCAGTCATATATTGATGAACTTGTGCCACTTCTCTGGTTAGAAATATGTTAAATTGTGTAAACATATAATACGTTATTTTTAGTTGAAAAACACTAAATATATATACAAGGTAGTAGATAAAGTCAAAGATTACGGAAGAAGTTCAGAAGCTTCTTTTTCTTTGCCTTAGACAATGAAAAAAAACACGAATAAAAACGATGGTTCTCATTCACAACATATGTAGTGTAAAAGAAATAGGTCAGAACAACGATATGATATGCTGAATAAGCGAAGAGAAAGGAAAAGACGTACAAAAATTAATTTCCTCTATAACTATTTCGACTTTTATACTAGACCTTGAATATCATCGCCTGTTAATGAATTGTATTTATTGATTTTTAAATTTATTTACAAACCGAATAAATTAATAACTGGTCGTTTAAGTAATTTACTGACTAATCATTCAATTTTCTGATTGTATAATTATTTCATTTACTGACCATAAATCATATTTGCTCTTCAATACCATGAATTCTCTTTATATTATCATACGAGCACTTCCGAAGGTAACATTTAAGAGCATAATTCAAAAACCGGCATAAGCACTTCAAGGGTTTATACTAAATTTTCTATAGTGTAACGGTTGATTACTCTCTTTTCTTTAATAGCAAATCGACTGATTCAGACTAGTCCAGCCGGTTTACTATCGATACCAGTACTGGTAAGGAAAAAGCTTTAGTGGTTGATAATCTGCTTTAGTTGAATTCACAAAATATTTACTGGCAATTTTGAGGTCGCAAATTAATAAAATACATCAAGTGCATCACACAATCATTCCTACTATTACCTTCTCTTCTTTACTTCAGAAGGTTCGAGAATAGAATTGGTCTATAATGAAACTGTATTTTTCGTCTCTTATCCCAACTAAAAAATACAATGTTGATGTTGTCTATGAAAGAAAAAACACGTGCATTTACTACTCTTCTTTTACCATCCTTCAAGCAGTGTGAAAAAAAGCATATAATTTGCGTTATTTCTTCACTCGTATATAATGTTTTTAATATAACACGCTAAAAGCCATGCATGACTGATTCATATGACTTGATTTACTCTAAACACTGCACCGTTTCTTCTCACTTTATTCGTGACAATATATTGACACACGTTGAATTCATGGATTGGCGTATTCAAAGATATGATTCTTTATTTTTACACGAGCTAAATACAGGTAGTCAAAAACGTATGCGAACACCGATCTATTTTTTCATATGTTATGTTTCACTCTCTAGAAGCAACAGATATCACTTTTCTTTATTCACTAATAGATGGGTCTAGTTTCTTTCTATGTCTTCTATAACAATCAGATTTTTTGATTATAATTTCGATCTCTCCAGATTTTGCCTATGAAAATCATGGTTTTTTCTCATTAAAATGGATTCAGAAGTTTTGACATTGAGAAGAAAGAATAAACTTTTTCAACCTTGATATTTTTTCTCAAAAGACATAATTAAATGGAATGAAATGACCTCTATCTACTAATATGATTTTCTTTGACAATACAATCGATTTATAACTACTTAGAGCATAGAAAAAGTAGTGGCTGTGGTATTTGAATTCCTTATAAAAAGCTTCAATAAACCTTTTCTCCATATAGTTTGATAGTAAAAAATTATTCGTCACATTTTTCTGATAGCTGATCATTAATCAATTAATATCATAATAACAATATTTCGATAGGAGCTGTTTGTTATGATATGTGAAGGTAATATTAGGTCACATATTTTCGTTCGTTGTGTATTCTTTTCTCCTTTTGTTGTTTTTTCGTTTCTCTCGTGTCCTCTAATATCTATCCATAATTCTCTAGATCTGGTATCATGTGGTTTTGGATTATTCGACTCGATGAAACAAAATCTAAACGATCGAAATGCTTCCAGTGTTGCGTCTTACTATAAACAAGTCCATGAAATCTTTGAATATAGAAGAATATAAAGATGCTGATAAATGCATTTAACGTATATTATTGAGTTTGATTGAGCAGGATGATTTATTCGAACATTTAATGAAATAAAGACTTGGTGGACTTGTTTCTTTTTTTCTGTTTTTTACTCTAGCTCGACGAGATTTTTATACATCGTAATCAGGGTGGCCAGATCTTCTGATTTTTCAGAATTTTTCTGATTTTCAGCATCTTTTCTGATGGTTTTCTGCTTTCTGATTTTTCTGATTTTGAAGGTTTTTATTTTAATTGTCCTGTACGAGTTGAGAATCTGATCTGACGCCACAATGAAGTTTCGAAGCTCAGTCATGTTTAGTTGCCTCTTTTGTAGTTAATCTTTAGTTGATTTTTCCTACATCTCTCTGCAGCCACTAGTCGATTAATGGAGTGTCATAGTAAGCAAAAGCATTAGTTTGCGAGTAAAATGTGTAATTCTTCAAGAAAGAAAATGTCGATATTGTAATAAAATTATTTATAATTTCTACTTTCTAATTCCTCATTTTGAGTAACCTAGAATGTCATTTATTCTATTTACTAATAGCTATAGCTCCAGTTGAGGCAGTGTTCTTTTCTAGATACATTCACGTTAAACTCAAAACTAAAAGTTTTTGTTCAGTCTTTTGAAATATATTTGATTTCTTAGTAGATGTTAGTACTGTCTCTATGTTATTAATTTTTGTAGTTTGAAGTAACAAAGTCCATAAAAGTAGGTTTTTAACTACTCCAGAACAATGAGAAAATACCGAAATCAGAAGTGGAGGATAATTAATTATTTTGTTGAAGTTCTCGTCTCTGTAATGGAGTGAATACAGGAATCAATTAATTTGAAACTCTTGGCTTCACTATTAAATTGCTAGCAAGTTGACTTTATCTGTGCAATTATTTCTATAGTTATCGTCTCTTCCAGCCATGGCTGGCCAAAAACAACGAACCAAAGAGTTGCAATAACGGACAGAGCGGCATTCTCTTTTAATGGTTGCTTAGTTTCGACTTTCAAGATTGTGACTAGTTCTTTCTAATACGCAACACTAAACATATTGAATTCGAAAAATAGGTTCTATATTAGACCAACTCATGCCGGGAGTACTGAGTGAAAACCGACGGCTTATTTCGGTTATTGGCATAACCGTCGATTGATCGTGGTTATTTTCTTTGTTCCCACGATTTTCCAGTGTAAAAACCCACGGTTAACCTTTCAATGAATCAGATCGCTTAGTAATCAGCCGACAATTTACCGATTACTAATCCGGTTAACCAGGAGCTTGACTGAGATTAACCGTCGAGTTTTACCCTGGAAAATCGTGAGAACAAAGAAAATAACCGCGGCTAGTCGCCAGTTACGGAAATAATCGAAACAGATCCGCATTTTTCGACCGATCCGAATGATACAGGAAACATCAGTACTGATATTTCACGTTGAACACACTTTCTGATTTTCTTCTGATTTCGATGAATCTTTTTTCTGCCAATTTTCTGATTTTTATATTATTTTTTTCTGATTTTGAAATTTTCCATCTGGCCACCCTGATCGTAATATATATTGACGGATAGGTATTACAGCAGACGAGAGAAAAGAAAAAAACGGGAAAAGAACATAGCATACCTGCAGAAGAGAATACACAACGAACGACAATACGTGATCTAATATTCCTGTGTAAAAAAAAACTGATTTCAAAAATCGATTAAAAATTGATTATGATCATACGATTTTAATCAATAGTTTAAGCAGTAATAATCATAGAAAATTCAGGCTTTAATCGAGTATTTCAATTATTCTGATTATAATCGGTTTTAAAAAATATTCTAAATCGATTATAATCAGAATAATTGAAATAATCGATTAAAACCTGATTTTGCTATGATGATTACTGCTTAAATTATTGATTATAATCGTATGATTATAACCGATTTTGACTTCTCTAAAGCTGATTTTTTTGGTATTCTTTTTTACATGGGTTACCTTCATAGATCACAACAAACAGTTCTATCAAACTTTTGTTTTTATAATATTAGTTGATTAATGATCAACTATCAGAAAAATGTAACGAATAATTTTCTACTAGCAAACTATATGGAGAAAAGATTTATTGAAGCTTTTTATAAGGAATTCAATATCTTCAGCTTCTACTTTTGATTTGCTCTTAGTAGCTAAAATCAAGAGTATTTTCAAAAAAAAAGTACACTAGTCGATAGAGCTCATCACACGTGATCCGATTATGTGTTTTGAGAAAAATATGCCAAACTCAGAGAAAGTATATTCTTATTTGTCGATGAAAAAACTTCTGAACTTATCTAAATGGGAAAAAACAACCTTGAGTTTCATAGCCAAAATCTGGAGAGGTCGAAATCATAATCGAAAATTCCGACGTTTATAGAGAACATATAAGGAAACGAGACCTATCTATTCGTGAATAAAGAAAAGTGATATCTATTGTTTCTAGCAAGTGCAACAAAACATGAAAAAATAGATCGGTATCCGCGTATTTTTATTATTACCTCTATCAACTGTACATCAGTAATATCGATAGAAATCAAGCACGTTGTAATTTGTTTTTTGTTAACGCTGACCATGTTTATGTAGTCATCAATATGCAATATGATTATTCATGTAAAAGTATTTGAAGCTTTTCTCAATGATCAATATTTGGCCTTTTAAATAAGTTATAGCGCGTCTTAATTGAAACAGATTCGATCCGGCTTTCATCGACTATTTTGCCGTTTTTTTATTTACGTTTTTGGACATCTAAAGCTGGCTTATTGTACTAGTTTTTAATGGCTTCTATGGTTTAATGATGAAGAGATTTGAGCCTACAAATTTTCAACTAGCAAACTTCCAGTCGATGTCAAAGTCCCAGCTCTAAACATTGAGCTAACAGTTTCTCATCATACAATGAAAGGATCAGATCATGCTGAATAAATTTGTATATGCTTACGAAAAGTTAACCAGGTATTAGAAATTAATTTCGGTTTAAATGAAAGATTTTCCATCTCAAAATGTCGATTGTACTTTTCTGTACTATTTCTAACCGCCTCTCATGCTATTCAAATAGATGATAATTTTCAGTTAATGCTTTCATTACTAAATATCAGAAAGTTCCCTTTCTGTTGTCAAGATCTTACCAAATACCAGCATCATGCAGTTGTGAAAATATTTCGATATTAACTCTATTAGAATAGAACTTGTGATTGTAGGATGCATTCTGTGTGCTGTTCAAGAATGACTGCATGAGTCCAAGCTATCTTTCAAAAACTGAAACTAACAAATCTTATTTAGTAGTTTTATCTTGCACAATCTGAAGGTTACTACAGATACGTATGTACAACTGTGAGAACAAAAACAGTGCCTATTCAGTAATTACAGAAAGGTTCATTTTCGCTTCTTTCCGTGTTTACAGATAAATGCTTTGTATCTTTTCCGTTTGTGCTCATCGAAGATCAAGAGAAAATGCGAAACCTTTTCTTTCGCAAATGACAAAGCAAAAAAAAATGCATCGAGTTTCGACTAAATCTATCCTTTCGAGAATGTGGACAGTCCTCGTTCAGTAAACGTGTTGAATGAGAGTTTTGCTCTCGAAACGCGAGACCAAGAACCATATATTTTACTGTGTCATCAGTTGTTTTTTCTTTTTTTGTTGTCTCTGCTCTAGATTAATCTAGTTGTTATGAATAATCAGGACTTATCGAACGTACCCCGATGTCTAGAAGAGCATCTTTCTGATGAATTTCTCCAGCCCTCTGAATCAATCGGGAATGCAGCAAATCAAAGGAGTGGCTTTATAGCTGATGATAATACAACAAAGCCACGCAAAAGTTCAACACCCGTGTATGCATTTTTCCTTTCAATTTCAAACGTAGTTCGTTTTTATTTTCATTAGGATACACTTGTATGAGGCAACATCGAAGCGTCGTATGCTTCTTGTTTGGTATATTTTATTTACGATCATATTAATGACCATCGGTATTTTCACGATTTGCTTTACTTCACCAAAATCCAAAAGTATGAATGTGTATTACACTTTTTCTATTCGACTTTTATTAAATTAGAATAACCACTGAGTGCTTAACATATATTCATTGAAATCGAAAATTAAAAGTCATTAAAAGCGTTTTCATACTTGTTAGTTCTTATGAAAGAGGTGAACGAGAGGAATAGATGTAAATGCACAGACATACACGCTCCTTCGCAATACTACCAACACACTCGCATGTCCTCATCCTTACTAACACCCACTCACATCCCGGGATAACATACCAGAAGCATGAAAAACTCTTTTTCGTGTAGTACCAACTCAATGAAATGAGCACTAATGATCCTGTCCAATTATGGATATGTTGCTGATTTAGTTGACGATAGACTTTTCTTAGAACTCATGAAATTATTATGTTTTCGTTTCGATATGTATAAGTATTGGAAATTGTGAAAATAATGTCATTAGAAAGAAACAATAAAACAATGCAGCATTGAGTATGTCGAACTTCAGATTGCCAGAAGAAAAGGTCAAGTGTAACAGAGATATGACGAAAAACCAATCTCGTCGCTTAATCATCTTACAAATGAATAAACAATGCTGACTGAAAAGAATCGATTGAAATATAAGGGTCTATTGGTCTTCTCTGTTAACAGTAAGAAACTTATATATATAGTGATGATGGAAAAAAAACTTTATGTTTAAGTTTTGTTGAGTTATTGTCCAACCCAAAACATGCAGGATGTTTTAGTTTATGTATACTGTGTGGTAAAATAATAGCTGACTTCGAGTTAAATTGTGCGTGTTTGTGTTATTTTTCATTGTTTGTTTAATTGAGAAATAACTCCTTAAATAGAGATAGGCAACTCGTCCATTAATCGCGGGCAACGCTGAAATTGATAATTCATTGGCAATTTCAGGTTGTTCGGTTATAATAGCGTATTTTCTTTAGATTCTTTTTCACTCAGTTATTAATGTAAAAATGGCAACTGGCAATTATTATAGATTTACAGTAAAAGTTAATATCGTAGGTATACTTCTATACAGACGAACCAATTGCTTCATAATCGATCACACCTATCTAATGACAAGATCGGCATAGATGTGCCACATAAAGTCTACTTTTGTTTCACACTAATATGGTAGTAATTGGATTGTTCAGCTCCCGCGTTGATTAAATATTCTTTGGATAATCTCTACTATGAATTAGGAAAACATCATATCTTGATCCGTCTAACCAATCGTGTCTTTTTTTAGAGCCAATATGCCCCTTTATATTAGTATCTCAGACTCAAGATTGGATTGGTGTCAAAAGTCGTAAGCTACCAATTGCGTTAGGTGATTTCAACAATGACAATCAATTAGATATCATCGTCACTCAACGCGACGATAAAAAAATACATATCTTCTTGGGATACGCACATGGAGCATTTGCTGTGAAACCAACAACATCAGTAACATCTTCTTCTCTTCCATATTCCATTGCAGTTGGTGATTTTAATAATGATAATTGGTTGGATTTTGTCGTCGCTAATTATGATCACAATAATATAGGTGTTTTTCTTGGTTATGGTAATGGAACGTTCGCAAACGAAAACATATATTCAACTGGCTCTTCTCGTCCACTGTCTCTCGTGATTCATGATTTAAACAACGACAAACAATTAGATATTGTTATCGCTAACAATGGTACGAACACTATTGGTGTACTTCTGGGAGCTGGTAACGGAACTTTTGCCAACCCGATGACGTTTTCAACTGGCTTTGATTCTCTTCCTCACGCAGTTGTCGTTGGTGATTTCAACAGCGATATTCGACCAGATATTGCTGTTGCCAACTCTGGCAGTAACACTATTGGACTACTTCTTGGATATGGTAATGGAACGTTTTCACACCAAATAACATATCCAACACACGGTCACCCTATCTCGTTGGCCGTTGGTGATTTGAACGACGACACTCAGCTAGATATTGTTGTCGCCAACGATGGTAGTAATATACAAGTACTTCTTGGAAATGACAATGGTACATTCACAAACCAAGCCATCTATACAACAGGTTCCGGTTCTTATCCTAGTTGGGTAGCTGTGCGTGACTTCAACAAAGACGGTCGACTCGACATTATAGTCACCAATACGGGCACTAACAATCTAGGTCTCTTTCTCGGATATGGAGATGGAAACTTCGAAAACCAACGGTTATACCCTATAAATAACGGGGCTCCACAAATAGTCGATACTGGAGATTTGAACAATGACTCATGGATAGATGTTGTCGTGGCTATTGATAGTCCTTATAATGTGGCTGTCTTTCTTGGAGGTCCAGATAAAAACTTTACTAATCTCACGACATATCCAACTGGTGGTCTATCTGATCCGTACTCAGTTGTAGTGGGCGATTTCGACAATGACACATGGCTGGATGTCATCGTAGCGAATTATAAGAGTGATGAAATAGCTGTGTTTCTAGGACAAGGCAATGGAAATTTCGATGCAAGAAAGACATATTCAACAGGATCAGGTTCTATGCCAGAGTCAATCGCCGTTGGTGACTTTAACAGCGATCATCGACTCGATATCGTTGTCGCCAATACTGGCACTGACAACATAGGTATCTTTCTTGGATATGACAATGGAGCTTTTTTAAACCAGACTACATATCAAACGGGAACGAATTCTAAGCCAAGTTCCGTTGCTGTTGGTGACTTTAACAACGATAATCAACTTGATTTCGCCGTCGCCAATAGTGGAACTGATAGCCTAGGTATTTTTCTCGGATATGGCAATGGGACTTTTTCAAATCAGATTGCATATTCAACAGGTGTAAGCTCTCAACCAACTTCGATTGCCGTTGGTGATTTTAACAATGACACTCAGCTGGACATCGCAGTCACTAATGCTGGCACTAATATCCTAGGCATCTTTCTTGGACATGGCAATGGAACGTTTTCAAATCAAATTGCTTATCCAACAGGATCGAGTTCTACGCCGAATTCGATCGCCATTGGTGACTTTGACAGCGATACCAGACTGGATATCGTCGTCGTCAACGCTGGCACTAACAATCTATGTATTTTTTTTGGAAAAGCGGATGGAAGTTTCTCAAATCAAACTGAATATCCAACTGGAAATAATCCCATGCAGAATTCGGTTACCGTTGGTGACTTGAATAACGATACCAAACTAGACCTTATCGTAGCCAATTTCTACGATAACAATATAGGGGTGTTCCTTGGAAAAGGTGATGGAAGCTTTTCAACTCAGACAACGTATTCAACTGGATGGGATTCTCTACCAATCTCAGTCGCTCTTGGTGACTTCAACAGCGACAATCGACTGGATATAGTAGTCGTACTTTATTATTATTTCTCTATAGGTATCTTTCTTGGGTATTACAATTCACCTTTTACAGTTCCTACAATGTATTCAAGTGGTTCAATTTCGACACCATTCGCACTTGCCGTTGCAGATTTTGACAATGACAATCAATTGGATCTTGTTGCTACTAATTATGATGACGGTAATGTAGCCATTTATCAAAACTTTGTAAATGGAACTTTTCAAAGTTCTAAATTATATTCAACTGGCTACATTACTGGTCTGTATTCTATTGCAGTAGGTGACTTCAATAATGATCGTCAAGTTGATGCCGTAGTTGTTAATTATGATAGTGACAATATTAACTTCTTTCTCGGATTTGGGAATGGGAGTTTTGGAAGCGTCATATCATACACAACTGGACTTGAGTCTGGTCCCTGTTCAGTTGTTGTTGGTGATTTCAATAACGATAGCCGATTGGATATTGTTAGTGCCAATAATCGCGATAACAGTATAATTTTATTTCTTCATTATGACTTCGGAGCATTTACGAATAAAGAAATGTATTCAACTTCTTCTGATAAACCCTCTCGCTCGGTTGCATATGATGATTTCAATAAAGATACCCGACTGGATATGGTTGTAGCTAATTACGAGAGTTTCACTATAACTGTGCTTCTTGGCAATGGTAAGGGAGGTTTCTCAAATCAAACTACATACTCTACAGGATTTGAATCTTATCCGTTCTCAGTTGCAGTTGGTGATTTCAACAACGATGCACAGATGGATATCGCTGTAGCCAATAAATGGACTTTCAATATAGGTATATTTCTTGGAAAAGGTGATGGGACATTCTTCGAGCAAATTACATACCCAACGGGATCAGATTCTAAGCCAACCACGGTTGCTGTTGGGGATTTTAATAATGATACTCGATTGGACATCGTTGTAACCAATTATGGTGGTTACAGTATAGGCGTATTTCTTGGCAATGGGGACGGGACTTTCTCGAATCAAATTGAATACGCAACTGGATATTATTCGTGGCCATGGGGAATCGCGATTGGCGATTTTAACAACGACGCTCGATTGGATGTCGTTGTCAGCAATCAGTATGGTTACAATATCGGTGTATTTCTTGGACATGGTGACGGGAGTTTTTCAAATCAAACTACATATCCAACTGGAGCAAAATCTTTGCCGATTGGAATTGCTGTCGGTGACTTTAATAATGATAATCGAATGGACATCGTTGTGGCCAATTATGGTAGTGACAATGTAGGCGTGTTTCTTGGTAATGGCAATGGAACATTCTGGAATCAAGTCACTTATTCAACTGGTTATGTATCTGGTCCGTATTGGGTCATCGTTGGTGATTTCAACAAAGATGCTCAATTGGATGTTGCCGTCGCTCTTTCTCTTTCTGACACTTTAGCGATCTGCTTCGGCAATGGAAATGGAACGTTTAGTAGTCCAACGACGTTCGGAACTGGCACTTCAACTTATCCATGGTATTTGATAGCTGCTGATTTTAACTACGATAACTGGCTTGATGTAGCCATCGTCTTTGGAAATGTTGGTGGTGTCACTGTACTATTGGGGGATAGAAATAGAATGTTTCTAGTACCTATGAAAAATTCAACTGGCCCGAATTCTGCTCCACAAACTATCGTTGTTGGAGATTTTAATAACGATAAACATTTGGATGTAGCTGTTACAAATAGTAAGAGTAATAATGTAGGTTTATTTCTCGGGTATGGTGACGGGCGTTTTTCAAAGCAAGTAACATACTCAACCGGCGCTAATTCTCAGCCGTGGTCACTTGCTGTAGGTGATCTTAACAATGATACTCAACTGGACATTGTCGTGACAAATCGTAATAGTGACAATATAGGAGTTTTTCTTGGGCTTGGAAATGGCGCGTTTAGCAATGTAATGACGTATTCAACCGGTTTGCTTTCTGCTCCAATATCCATCGTTATTCTAGATTTTAACAAGGATAATAAATTGGACATTGTTGTTGCCAACAATGGTGCCAACAGCATCAGCATATTACAAGGATATGGTGATGCAACTTTTTTGAGCCCAACGACATACTTAACTGGTTATAATTCTCATCCAGTTTGGGTCGTCACCGGTGATTTTAATAAAGACGACTGGATGGATATTGCTGTAGCCACTTTAGGTACAAAAAACATAAAAGTTCTTTTGAAATCATGTTAATTTTTCTGTATATCTATGTTCTGTTTCTTCTTTGCTCTCAGTGAAAACAGGATGCTTTGTATTTATCAACTTTCTTGTACTGTGGCAATCATATATTCCAAATTTTATTTTCTTGATGACGGACAGTAAGTGAAGCAAGTAAACCTTGTATTATTTGAAATTGACTAACGTCAGTGATGATGCAATTCTATTTTGACACAACCAATTGGATGTATTACTAAGCACAAGTTATTTGAGCTTGAACTTTTATATTACAGCACGTTTGTTTATTGTTCATTTTTTTTTCTAGCTTTGGAATATATGCATAAAAACATTTTCTTTAATCATCTGCAAAAATACTTTCAGGATCGTACTTCAAAGATGAATATCTTTCACATTTTTTCCAACTTCGTTGAGCGACATTGCCAATTATCACTTGTGAGACTGACCGAGAAGTTGAGCACAGTTCAATGACGAGTATACGTCTCTACAAATGATATGAGTATATATTTTCGGCAACTCAATCACCATAGCTCTATTAAAACAGTCACAAAGAAAACATCTATCAATTTGCCCCATTACCTCAAATAGAGCAATTGAGAATCTGCCAGACAAACAAGACGTATTGAATATGAACTTATTAAACGGTTGTGAAATACGAATTCCATTTAAGATAATCTTATGAGTGACAAAAACGTCTTACAGAGAATAATGATTCACTTTCAACAGTGTAGGGTATCTTCTCTATAGAAACTGGTATATCTCTGTGTCTGTATAGACAGAATCAAACTAACATGACAAAGCAGCTTCACTCAGATCGAAAGCTACATTAAGACCGCAGGGTCTAGATAGAATCCTTATCTCACGATTGTAAACGGAGTATATATCGTACTAAAATAAATGGTTTTGAGAGACATGTCAGAGTTTTTCAGATACTGCAGACAATGAATAAGGTTTGGTTCATTGACAGGAGTTTTCAAGAGACTTTCACTTCAAAGAGTTAATTTCGTAGTTTTTCTTATTTACACATGTGGGATGACTCACATAAGAAAATCCACCACAAATCAGTGCGATTATTGGTCTATGCGATGTTTGTCGAGAGAAAAACTTTAGATTCAGCGTCATCCATAAGTTCTACTATTTAATAAAGCCTATAATCCGATAATAAACGAGTTGTTGGATTCACAGAGGTGTTGCATTCCTTGATTGAACAAAGACTAAAATGTATTATTTCGTCCACCATTTTGAGAGTAGCGCATCATTCTGTTTAACGATCATATATATTCAATGCGAAGGGTGGATGTAACACGATAAAGAATCTCAGCATTATTCTAAGATACGCAATTTTAGGTATGGATGTGCATTTATGACGCGAAAAGCATCACTCACATCGTGTACGTTCATACATAAGGCCATCACAGTTGTGGCCACACAAACACAAAAACGCTCATGCACCTGCACACTTATACCTATACAATACATCCTCAGAAAATGGAATCCAAATCTGGAGCTCTGAAAGTGTGACCTTGAACGTCTCTAACTAACTAAAATCTAGTCATAATCGTTAATCTATCGGAAGTTAGGATCGTGTATATGTGGAAGTGTGAATGCTAGTTTGGATAGCCACGTAGTCTTTTCACTCACATCCACATCCACTCTAGTTCGTGGTTTGCTCTGGAATATAAGCTAATCAACTTTTCGAGTAATATAAATTCTAATGAAGAAAAGTTATTTGTGATTTCCAACACAATCAACCAAATTTAAGTTTGTTTCAAACATTCATTGAATTTGAGAAAGCTAGCATGTTTTCAATATTCCTGTGAGCGAGATAAATTGGCTTTAGAAAAAATATTAGAAATTATTTGATATTGTTTTTGCTGTGTTCTTGTTTGAATGCCATTTTGAGATTTCCAAATCTTAACGATCTCAATTCTATCAAAAATCTGTCTTAAACGATTATTTGCTGCCAATAGTTGATCCAATTCTTTTATCAATATTAGTTTGTCGGCATTTTCCATAGACTCTAAATCCAATTGTTTTACATTTGGTGTCACGAGAAGCCACAAAACAAGTGACATGGCATCTAATCCACTACAAGTAGATGACTTCATATCAAGAAACTTTACTTTTTTTAGTACAGGAATTGTGGCTGTTCTTGTGATCCACTGCAAGTAAACACTTTAGTTTTGACTTGACATTAAGAAGAGATACAGTAACACAAGAAAAACAAACCTGTGTGAGCAACATGTGTGATAAATCGAATTGCCAATAATTTAAAGTAAGTTGTTGATAATACGAAGGGAAAACACGATCAATAAAGCGTACCAGATCAAGTGTTATCCTTTCTTCATTAATGCTTTGAAAACGAATCGAATTCAGTTTGGTGAAACGAAGAAGTGATGAATCCAACTGTCCCTTATTCAATCGCCACAGATTTAGATTCATCGGGAATGTAATATTGACTGAATCACAACAAGGCATAGAACCGATAAAGATATGATTGTTCTCATCGCAAATAAGAAGTACAGGTGTCCGACAAGCATCGAGCCACCACTCACTTTGAAACTGACGCCACATATCAATCATATCAATATTCATATCGTCGTCGTCGAACTCAAATGTAAATGACAGTTTCTTGAGATGTTGACATGGTTCAAGTATTGTCTGGAGACGACGTCCATCAATGAATAAGTTAGATGATGGGATAACTAATGTTATTTGTTCAAGCGATGACTGATAGCAACGGATCAACCCTTCAATAGTCTCAACATGAATGCCACTGTTGACACTAGTGCCAAGATATAACTGAGTTAAAGACCCAAACCGAGAGATGATATCGAAGATACGATTCTTAAACGGAACATGTGTACTTGATTCGAGTACTCTAACACGGAGAAAGGTTAGCTTTGGCATGAGACTACATAAACATAATAAATCCCTTTCAGAACAACGCCAGATATCTAAGCATACGATGGCCAGGCAAGGTTGAGTATTAAAGATTCTATAAACCTATACATTATGAAAGAACAAATGAGTAATTAATCGCAACATTTGTTTGACGTACCTGATCATTTTCTGTTTGTTCAATATCTCTAGTATGAAACCATGAGTTTCGATCATGTACGCATTGAAAACTGCATTGAGCAAGTAGGTTTAGACATGTAACAGCAGTTGCAAAAGCAGTATCACTTTCAACATTAAATTTTACAGTAAAGACTCTTGGTTGCTTGAGAATCATGGAAGTAAGATTTCGATAAAAACATTCACAAGGAAAGACATAAGGTAATAACTCGACTTTGAAACAGATTTCTGCAACGGCATCAGTGATGCGGGGCATATACTCAAGCAACCAAATATGTGGTATATCATCGGGAATAAAAATATTTCGAATAGATTGGGACACAATCGAATTGAATCGTTGGTTAAGTCCATAGAAAGCTCGAATAATATCGAATGTTTTTAGATAAGAAATGATTGAAAATAAAAGTTCATTCGGCAATAATTCTAGGTAACTACACAAATTTTAATTTAGACGAAACAAAATAATATTCACTAATGTTATTGAAACATGAATCAAACTGATATTACCTGCCAAGAATATGGACATCTATCTGATGGTTGCCATCAACAACGTCATTGATCAAAGAAATTTGATTTTTCATAATGACAGTAGGGCTCATAGTTTCAATCGAAGTCGACATAGAGTTGGTCGCAGATAATACTGTGCTTAAACTACTGTCTTCATGTATGACCTTCGACCGCTTTCGAGTGATATCTTCTTCATCTAACCACGAAGATGATATTCGTTTTGAGACGAGATCTGGTTCTGTTTTATCTTCTGCCTTCGATGAACTCATTCTTGTGACAATCTAAAAATGAGAATTCATTTATAAACCTAGAAGCAATTAATATTTATTAATTAAACGTTCGAAATACCCTTTGAAAATCATGTTCGATTTTCATTTTTGAAATATTTTAAACATCACGAAACTGCAATCTGCTGATTTTACTTAGTTTCTATGGAAAATTTTCAACGAAAACAATGTGAGTATTAAAGACTCATGCAAAGTCTCGCTGCTCTCCAAAAGAAATGTTGAAGGAGAATAGCATATTTTAATCGTTTTCGGGGTATTGGACTTGATTGTAGAATGTATACCAAGGAAAAAGAAAGCTTGCCAAATACAAAAATAAAATGTGATATAATGACTGCGACGACGATAATGTTGACTCATACTCTCACATTTTCTTTCTGTGCAATGGTATTCACTACACGTTTTTCTTTCTTCCTTCGTGCTTGGCTTTTTCCCTCCAACGAAAGAGAAATCAAATGAGTAATATTAGAAGAAAACAAGAGTCGAAAACGAAAATTTCTTTACATCATTACTGTCAATGTATTGATCATCGAAAAAACACGTAGGCTGGGACGCGTGTGGGTGTAAGAATGTGTAAGATTTGCGGCTTAGTTTGACTGAAGGTCTGAATTCTTTCCCATTCACATCCTTTGAATAATATACTTGTTGTCTTAGTCAAGAAAAAAAGGTTTTAAAAACACTGTAAGATTAGTAATTTTTTCTTCGTTCTTCTTTAATATTGATGGTATTGTTTTCTTCACTCTTGACATTCTAGTAAATGTGCTTTAATGACATCATAAAAAAATTATATGCTGATTCATACTTATGATTGTAACGAAATTAGAAAACAGAAAAGTAAACTCTTTAAAAATGAACATGCAATATTGTGAATGAATTTTGCTCTTCGTCAACTTTTTATACAATCGTTGAAAACGAATACAGAAATACTTATTCTTCGCGAAGATCATACAATAGGTTGGATACACTTTCAGCATTTTTTAAGTGTTTTGCAGATATAAAGAAAATTCTTATTTGGATTCATACTTATGCAAATGTAAGTACAAAAAAAATACTATTAAAATCAGAATGATTGATCTTTGCTGGATCATGAGACGTTGATCTATTCAAAAACAAAACCAAGTAAAAATTAACAAAGTGATCATATTAAATGTAGTTTTAACAAATTCTTAAATTCTTCATGATTGAAATCTTATTTCTGTATTTGTCATGTTTGAATCAAAATCAAATAACGAATTTAATCAATGAGTAACTTATGTGTACGTCTTTTTTCTTATAGGCTATATTTGAACACAATATTTGTTGCTTTTTGGTATTTCAACTGTTAAATGAAGATCTCGATGAACTGGTTAATACATCTATTGGTAAACATAAATATGTAAATATTTCATGCAGTGTTGACTTAAGAAATCTAAAAACAGAAGCTTCATCAATTAGTACAACTGCTACAGTTGAATTAACATTGTAAACAGATCAATGCATTTATCCAAGAAATAGTAAATTATAATCAATTAGTTCCATTTGATGTTACTGACCTCAACGTCGTATAAGAACCTGACTACATCAATAATGTAATCAAGTTCTCTATTGGCTATTAATAATCCATATAAATTTTGTAAGTGCCAACCATCTGTGATTCGACATATATTTCTTCATGATAATCTTAATCTAGGACTAAATATTTTCTTTAATCGAAACTCTTTATTATATCAATTTGCTCATCTAATATGATTACAGATAATCAGGTTTGTGTCTGAATCTCACATCTAAAGAATTCTTGTTTCATTAATTTTTCAAAGAGTGCACAAACTCTATAATTTAAAAAAAATGTCTTTCCCTAGTCCTTCACGATATTCAAATGAAAATAAATGAATTTTCTATCGAAATACGACAGAAGAAGAAATCTTGATATCCTCAAGAAAGATTTACATCATTTAGAATTGAAGTTTTAAACTTTTCATTCAGGTACGAGAAGATTTGTCGTTTCTATACTCGAACTCAGCCACGTCGCTAATAACGAATAAACTGAATTTTTTATTTGAAAAACTTATGCACGGCTAGAAAAAAACCTTGGATGCACATTTTTAGTCTTCTACAAAATATCCCTTTAATTTTTCAAAAATACGTTTCCAACTTGCAGTAGTCGTAAATGTAGACGCATGAAGTGACAACTTTGGTCCTTTTTGTGTCACGTCACTAAAGTTACTGTTTCATTATTTCTCGGCGGTAAAATCACCAAAAGATTAAGTTTTTAAGGATGTTGAGAGTAACTGATCAAAACTGCAACTTCTATTTTACAAAGCTGAAATTTTTCGAATATAATCTTGAATACACAAAATCTTTTGAACATAATTAAAACCAAGATTGATATCCATGCGTAGCACATTAATTTATTCCTCAATAAGTTTTCCGCATTCAATCTAGGAATGGGCAACTCCTCTTTGACTCTGTCTACCAATTGCTAAGTTCCATTCCAACTCCGAGTTGGAATTTACCATTTCTGGACTTCAAAGATATATATATATATATTCTTATTTTTATGAAATGATGTTGCTAACGACTGTAATTGTCCACATGCAATTGGATTTAAATTCAATTCTTTGTGAAAGAATAAGCAACAAGGCTTGAACATATGTAAATTTCTTTCTCAAAATTACTAATACATATTAATCATCATAGACTCTAAACTTACTCTTTTTGTTGAATCAAACAATCTATATTCTCTACCTACGCCAAAATGTCCTTGAGATAAATGTTTTGCTTCTACCATGGATGGACTCTGGTTTTATTCTCTTCTTCAAATAAATTATGTATTAAAAAGAAATTTCTGTATGACTTAAAAGGGAAAAAACCAATCGTATCAACATATATTTCTTTGCTTTCATTTTGAAACACAATTTCAGGTTTTTTCCGTTTTCTTGTCGAATCATACATCGTCATATCGAAAACAATCATAAGTAAATAACCAAATAAAAAGCTAAAATTTTTTTTTTTCGTTCCTTATCAAAGTATTTCTCTCAATATAAAGTCGAACAGAGAACATAAAAGCATTATTAATTATTCCGTCAATAGATGGTTGAAAAATTACTGTTCATTAGTTTTAATTAATACAATTATAATGATAGGTACAACTTTAACACATTCAGCAGAAGACAAACAGAATCTGGAAACATATCATTTGATTTGGCTAGATAGTTCAGCAAATAAGTCCAAAGAAAACATAAACGCTCAACAAATACTTCGAACATCGATAAATCATTTATTAACATTTGAAGATGATGAACTATGCCTTCGATATATTGATGGTCTATCCAATGATGATCGAGTTGTTCTAATAGTCAGCGGACGACTAGGTCAAACAGTTGTTCCTCAAGTTGCATTTCTTCGAAAGGTCATATCCATTTATGTTTATTGTATGGATAAAAAAGCCAATGAACAATGGACCCAACATTTCTCTAAAGTAAATATATATATTCGAATTCATAATTTTTAAAAGAAAAGATAATAATTTTGTCTTCGAATAAAATTCTTATGTTTTATATAGGTAAAAGGTGTCATCGTTCGATTGGATGAACTCATTGAGCGAATTCAATCTGATCAAATTCAACGACAACATAATAAAATTGATGAATCATTAACTATCAATATTTATAAATCAAAGATTCATGATCACGAACAATCATGCATGGGTGTAAATGGTCAATTTATTCATACTCATTTATTAATTGATTGTCTTATTCGAATGGTACCAACATTAAATGATAAAAAAGATTTTGTTTGTCTTTGTAAACAACAATATAAAAGTAATTCAACAGAATTAAGTATTGTGGAAGAATTTGATAAACACTATTCATCTAATCGAGCAGTATGGTGGTACACACGAGAATGTTTTCTCTATCGATTATTGAACAAAGCACTTCGAGTACAAAATATTGATTTATTATTTTTATTAAGATTTATTATTCGTGATATTGGACAACAATTAGAAATTAATAAATGTACATCACCAATTCGAGTTTATCGAGCACAAAAAATGTCAAAAGATGAAATCGAAATATTGAAAAATTCTGTCGGAGAATATATATCGATGAATTCATTTCTTTCTACAAGTCTTAATCGACAGAAAGCCAGAGCATTTCTCTATTCTTCTAATCTTACAGATGATATTGAACAAGTCTTCTTTGAAATTGATGCTGATCCTCGGTTGAACAATATCAAAGCATTCAGTAAGATCAATTCATTTAGTTACTTTCCAGAAGAAGAAGAAGTTCTTTTCATGGTTGGATCTATCTTTCGACTTGTTAGTATTCAATGTGATAATGAAAAAATCTGGAATATTCGAATGATATTATGTTCTGATGATGATCATCAATTACAAACACTCTTTCAACATATGAAAAATGAATTAGGTACTGAACAAACAAATCCTCTTGTATTTGGTAATATCATTCGTAAAATGGGAAAATTGGATGATGCGGAGAAGTATTATCGTTGTTTTCTCAATCAATTTTCTTATGATGATTCAAATGTAGCTCATGGTTACCATGCACTAGGACTAGTAGCCGATGATAAAGGTGATTATGAATCAAGTTTGATATGGTATAATAAATCACTTGAAATGTTCAAACGAATATTGAAACCAAATGATCCGAATATCGCTACATCTCACAACAGTATTGCTATTGTTCATCAACGAAAGGGTAATTATACATATGCATTAGAATCATATGAGAAGGCACTGTCGATTTGGAAACAAGCTTTTGGTGATAATCATCCTTGTATAGGTATATGTCTCAATAATATGAGTAATGTATATCGAAATGAGAAGAAATATTCAAAAGCACTTGAATGTGTAGAAACAGCATTGATTATTCTTCAAAAACATCTTCCTGTTGACCATACAGACTTAGCTTCAATATATGGTAGTATGGGTAATATTCATCTATGTCTTAGTCATCATGATCAGGCATTACAAAACTATAACCTTGCGCTAAAAATCTATAAAAAATCTCTTCCTGCTCAACATACTGACATTGCCATGACATTGTACAATATTGGAACTGTTTATGAAGATAAAAATGAATATGGACAAGCACTTAGCTATTTTAAACTAGCAGAAGATATCTATCATCATTCATTACCTTCAACACATCCTAAGTTGATCCAACTTGAACAAAGTATCAAACATATTTCATCAAAATTGAAATAGTATTCTCTTCTTTTTTTTGTCCTAATATTGATACAAAGCTGTATATAATTATAATGAATATCAGAGTAGGATAAACGATTTTACAAATAATAATAAAAAGAAAACATTAAAACATGTTTGTCGAATGTTGACACTTGTTGTACAGAAACTTCTGGTTGCAAAATATTACGAGCACGCAATATCATTTTTCAATCGATACAGAGGCTTCTTCATATATTTGTATTAACACGACAATATCGGTATTATAAAAATTAATCTATGTGTTCCGTTACTACTGTTTCACAGATTTAAAAAGATGATATTATCTTTTTTATCGATATGTCAAGCGCTTCAAGTTTATTAAAGCTAGTTTTACGACTCAATGTTTGACAATCAGATGCTTTCGCATTTTTTTATTAAATATTTAACGTTCATCTTAACTTCATAGTTGGTTCTCTACATTTTTGATATACATTCGTTCTTTAGACAACATTCATGTTAATGAATAACTCATTGTTATAATAATAAAACAGACATCATATCATTTATAATTAACATTTGCAAAGGGGATTGTGTCATTTGTATTTTCTATTTTTCATACTTTAAACTTCAACCATTGATTTTGTGAATACTGTTGGTATCAGCTGATTATTCATTACTAAGAAAGAATTTTTTGATACGAAGCAGTTGTTGATTCATTCGTTCTTATGAGAAAATCTCAAAAAATGATAGATCACTTCTGAGATGAGCCTTACTTTGCTATAGAGGTAGATCCTATTCAGACCAGAGAAATGTAAAAACAATTTCGTACTCATGAATTTTTCTTCACATCACCTTTGAAATCTGAGTTCCAAGTTCATACATTGCGCAAATAAATCTTTCTATGATATTATTTCATTTGGAAAGTATGAGACTTTTTACAGCCTCCTATTATCAGGTACCGATATTGAAAGTTTTGTTATGTGAAAAAGCAAACTTTGCCGCTGTATTTATATATTAGGATAGAACATACTAAAAAATTTGATGGTTTTACAATCAAGCAATTTCATTGAGAACTTGTTTTATGCAAAATTTGAATTTGAAATTCGATTCTTGAAGAGAGTCTCAACAGTAATGGTAAGTGTTCTTTTATATTCCGCACTTGTTCAAAATCGATAATAGAAAATGGTCGAATTTTTATTACAAATACTTATATGTTTTGCAAATTTTTCTTAAAACTTTATTGTTTCATTGATAAATGGAACGTACATTACCTATAGCATCCTAATCAAGTATTGTAAGTATCATATTCAAAAAAGTATTCTATACCAGTATTTTATGAAAACTATGGGAACTTTACATATTCTTCTGTCTTTTTAATATATTATTTTTCAAAAACACCAAAAAAAGGTTAGGAAGCCAAAATCACTCGGATGTCCCACCCTCTTATCATCATATTCACTGTGTGTGTCCAAAACCATTCCATCGATTCAACTAGAACTAATATTGATATAAATTTTGTTGTTGTTGTTGCAGACAAATAAAATAGGTATCTAAAGAAAGTTGCTTTTGGTCAAAGATTGATTATGTTGACTCAGAATAGTGTCTTTTTTTTTTCAAATATTTAATTTAATTATAAATGAAATCTTTTTCAATAAAATAAAATTATTTATTTGACATTATCATATGTCATGTTTCGACGTAGTTGTCATCGTTGTTGGTATTCTAATTCAATATCAGAAGATGATCAAAATAGAATATCTCACTTAACTAAATTTCAATTAATTAAACTTATAACTTCTTGTGCTCTGCCTCTTGCTGTTGCTATATTTACTCTTGTAACAACACTTCAAAATCGTCAAATAGCTTTACAAAATCGTCAGCAAGATTTATTAGAAAGTGAAGATGATCAACGACAAAGTTTTTTTGTTAATTATATCAATGATATATCACGTTTTCGAGATCAAAATATTGAAAATTTAACAAATAACTATAATAAACTACTTTATATTCGAACAAAAACATTAACAACATTAAGAAAATTAGATAATGAACGTAAAAAATATATATTATTATTTCTTAAAGAAAGTTCATTATTAAGTGAAGATGAACAAAGTTTATTAAGTGGAGCAGATTTTAATGGAATTAAAATTGATCATAATGATTGTGTTTTTAGAAATGTTATTTTTTCTGGTGTTTATTTTCAACAAGTTTCATTTATGAATTGTCTTTTTGAAAATGTAACATTTCGTTATGTAGATTTTCATGAAGCCGTTTTATCACATTCAATATTTTATTTAACTTATTTTATTTCATGTCGAATGGATTATGTTAATTTTCAAGAATCAGTTATATCGGAATCATATTTTAATAGTTCATCATTAAGTTATACAGATTTTCGTCAAGTTAAAATAGATTTTGTTAAATTTTATAATGTTAATTTAACAAAAGCAAGTTTTTCCGATAATCCAATTCAAACGCAATATTCACTTATTCGAAATTCTCTTTTACCAAATGGTACATTTTCAACCATTGATGATATCAATATTATTTCGAATTTATGTACATCATTTGAGAAATGGTCTCCGATACCGATCGATGGCATTAAAGTTGATAATTGTACATTTGTTATAAAGATTTCTAATACTACTATAGCTCGATATATAAGAAGACCTTTTATTGATCGTTCAGTACTTATTGGTGCAGAACAAGCTGACTTCTTATTAGAATTAAAACAAAAATATACAATGATGTATATTTCAATTATTATTTATTTTGTTGGTGTAGAACATGGAGTGTTTGAAACACAACAATTTGGTAAGTTAAATATAAAAATAGTTTTTATAGTGTAAAGAAAAAGATGAATGTACTAATGATGAAATCAACTGAAGTGATTCGTCGATTTTGAACTCATATTTTGATTTTATAGAGCAGACATCTACACTAGAATAACCACACAAGGATCTGGGTATCATAGAATAGGATACAAACAAGAAAATAGAAGAAAAAATTTCTCACTTGAAGCTTTATGTGTAAGTAAATATTGTCAAGGTTCCAATGAAAATGTTCGCTTTCTTCTGGAAAAATCGAACTTTCAAAAATCTGATTAGATTTTATACATGATCAGAAAAAATTCAAGCTTTTTGAACATTAAATATTTCAAGAATAGAGCAATTTTTAGGATATTCTTAAGATCATGACTCTCATCGGTAGATAAAATTTTCAAATCAAAATTCTTGCAGACTGTTTTTACTAATGGCTTGATTCTTTAATAATAATCTAGCATAACTATCATGACCCTGTATAGGAACTCTATAGAATTGAATTCTTAGGAAATTAGTCGAGGCTGAACGTTTCCTCTCTATATTCAAAGTATAAGCACACAAATGATGAATCACTTTTGATGTTTTCCTCTTTAATAGAATCAAAAAACAAACAACAAAATGTCCATTTTATGTATTATCATTGAAAATTTTTCTAAAATTTTACTAGGTAAATAATGAGAATATTTTGATGACATATCTATCTTTCACTTTTTTTTCATGTAAATAGACTGTTTGTCCAACAACAATCTGATTTGTCAACATCGTTTTCATATTCCATTGTATACACGGCAAGTTTTCTTAAAAATTCAATTCAATACCATTGATGGTTCTGTTGAACAAATATCTTATTCAATTAGGAGAATAAAATCTGATGTCTTATGAATTTTTTTTCTCTCGATGCTTATGTTAAAATATATATAAACAGATATTTTAAACATTGTAAAAGACAATTCAATGAATTATATGATATTTTGTCTAATATTATTATTCAACTTTTGTAAATTGAATTTGTTTTTGAAAAACTTTAACTCAAAAAGAAAACCAGCTATTGTATGATATGTTTGTTGTGGACTTCTACATCACATATACAAATAAGTTTAACAGATTTACTTTT